TAGTTTCTGCCTGAAACGGTTTCGGAAATCCTTTCGAACATACACCATCACTCATGCAGGGAGAGTTTCTATTCAGTTCACCGCAGGGTCCGTGAATCATCGATGACTTCACAATGTTGTGTAGCTCCGGATGTCGAGTAGCATCTGGAAGTTCAGCACACACCAGCGAGTCGATGCACTCTGCATCTCTTATTTTGTCTTCTTCCGCTAAAAACAACAAAAGGTGCATATGAGGCAATCCTCTCTTCTGAAATTCGATGACGTGTATATCTGCAATGGTCGCACCTAAGATGTGATTCTTTGTCAAATCTTGCATCAAAGCCGTTTTCTTCAGGTCAAATACCCTCGAAACGATGTCCGGGCGATCGTGAGCCTTCTGTCCTGGGAATAAGTTTTCTGTTATTTCCGGCCATTTAGGGTTGCACGTGAAAGTCAAAAACAGATCCGGTTTACCAAAGTCGCGCACAATGGCCATCGAGTCCTGATAGTTTTGCTGCATGCAGCGAGGGCTTCCTATAAACGTTGACGGAAGTATAACCGGTATTCCAGGGCGGACGCCCGTCTCTTGACCAACTCTGTAAATGTGATCGGCAAGACCCATGTAAGTTTCCACTCTCAGATTCGTCTGATGGCTCCGGAGGTACGCAATCCTGTTGCCTTCAACTTTTACGTATGCATCCACGAGATACTGCTGAAACAATTTCCGGCCATACAAAATCGGGTTGTAGCAATCTCGTCGTACGGACACCCTGTGACTGTAAAACTGTAACTCTGTGTATTGCTGTCCGACTCTGAATCCTTGCTCGCCGTGAGGAAAGAAAAGTACGTACGTCATGGGTTCCAAGTTGGGTTGGGATTTAAGGTACTGATGTTGATGAGACCGCCACCTCTCGGATGGATCACGATGTCTCGGTTTCGATGGAGGAGCGCCGTCCGTACTCTTGAAGACGACTGCAACTTCATTTTCTTTCGGAGCATTGTAACGTCCCCTGTGCTCGCCTGCAGCAACACTTTCACCCTTGATGTACATGCGGATATCCGCAGCAGTTTCGGCACCTTGCTCTCGTACAGTTTCTTCTTCGAATTCCTTCAGCATCTTGTAGGCTTCCGCATATGGATTAACGTTCCTTAAAACTGTGTCCAACTGTCTCAGGAGTTCGGCGTTCAGGGCAACATTTCCAAATATGTTCATTCTCTGCCTGAGGGCTTGATCCGAATCTAAAATGTACAGCTGAGCATACTGTTCTTGACCGGGATGAGGCGGATGAAGGTGGCTCGTTCGATGATATATGGCACCGTGAATCCTGAAGCAGTAGGGACCCGAACCCGAAGGCATTTCTATATTGGCACCCAATGAAGCAAAACTGAGCAGGCAGTTGTAAGTACGTATGTTGGCAAAAAACTCTTCAGAAAACGGGTGGTTCCCATTCATTAAATTGTGCCATTCTTCTGGATATCTTCTTTCAGCTTCGACAATTTTCCCATTGTTACAGCAGTGCATGTATCTTCCTCTTGCATTCCTTTCTCCCGTAAAGAACAATCCGTTGCAGAGATCGCAGGAAGCTTCCATTGAACCGGCGCTGTGTTGCTCAACATAAACTTCGAGTCCACATCTTCCTGCATTGTGAAGAGTGCTGCGTGAACGTTGTGCTGCATTCATGCGTAGCCTGTCTTCTCGTACGGACATTGTTTCTTGTACGGACATTGGATAGGACTTGTCTGTGGCGTGCAGCGTCTCGCGTTCTTCGTGTAGCAGCGTCCTCTTCCGACTCTTCCGCTCGAACTTGACGATGACGATGAGAGTCCAGTCTGTGCCTCCTACTGGTTTCTTCTTCACTTTCTTGAGCACGCAAATTTTCTTGACATTGGGATTGCCTGCTGAGTCTCCTAATGGTTTCTTGTTCCGTTTCTGCAGCACGTAAATTTTCTTGATGTTGAGCTTTCCTGCCGAGTCTCGTAGCGGTTTCTTCTTCCGTTTCTTGAGCGCGTAGGTTTGCTTGCCGACGCGCTTGCGTGCTCAGTCTCGCAGCAGTTTCTTCTTCATTTTCTGCAGCTCGCCGTAAACTCTGTGCTTCAGCTCTTCGTCTTCTTGATGCATCTCCTGTAATGCCTCTTTTCCGTTTCGGCATTTCAGTACGTTAAAAAAAGCACTACTAAAATATTAACTCGACTCAAAAAATTGACTACGCAGATGAAAGAAAAAAATTGCTCATTAAACCAATACTGCTGGAAAAAAAAATTAATGCATTCTATATGTATACAACACAAATTTTAAAATAATCCTAGACTAAATGAAAAATTTTCCACTTAAGAGCAAATTAATTTTAAAAAATCAAAAATGTAAAACAAAAACTTCCCTGTTAAAAAAATTGCTGGCAAATAAGAAATAATATGGGTAATATTATGAAAAATTCCAAGCACAGATAAAAATTATGAAAATATTTCTAATAATTAGGTCAATCTGAGAACAATGCACATAAACAGAAAATGAAAACCTAAACACAAAATAAATAAAAGGTATAAATACAAATATAAATTAGGAACTTCTGAAATCAATTCTGAAATTCAAATAACAAACCTAACAAAATAACAAATCTAATAAAATATAGAACATTCGATCGCCTTAAAACGATAATTGTTATCGCACACAGGAAAATGTCAAAAATATAAAATGTAAATGCAATTTATCGAGCAACAATAACAGAAATATAAAACACGAATGAATAGATCTTTAAAAAAATACAAAATAATACATTAAATATATAAAAAGAGTCACCAAGTTAATGTTCCGAAGAATTCTCAAGTTCTAAACTAACAGGAGCATATAAAAGTCTAAAATACTACTTTAAATTACTAAAACTACAAATATAAATGCAAAAAAAAACAATCAAATATCCTGTAAAAAGAAATAAAGATTAAGTGCAATGAGTAATAATAAGAATATTTACGAAATTTGAAATGCTGGAAAAAATTGCGACGGTCTCCTTCCAAATCCAAAATTCGTAAATAAATTTTTTGTTGCCAAACCAGGAAACTAAACTTTTGATTCTATTTGATCTGTTGCCAGACCGGGAAACAAAACTTTTTATTTTATCTATGACGTCATTTACTCGACTTATCAAGGGCATAAACCAATCTACATTCAACTAACGACAACTAAATGAAGAGAATGTTTCTATTTTTAGTTTTATTTTAGCTTTTCAGTTTATTCCTTTAAGTTATTTTAATTTTTTATTCTTAGTTTGTTAGTGGCGAACGGCCTTGGCGTTCCCATAGCATTTTTATCTCCGACGACTGCCGAGACTGTTGCCACTCGGAAGACTGAGTGCCGAAATTATTGTTTTCGCAGTTTTTAATTAATAACTCCGCGGATTATTGTCGTACGAAGATGGGACCGGTATCGATGGATTTGTTGATTTTTTTCGAATCCGGAGATATGCGTTTCGAATTCCAACTCGGCGCCGTTCCCAAGTTATTCGAGAAAAACGAATTTGGCACTCGGCCAAATCCCTAAAACAGGGAAAACGGGTGAAAGAAAGTGCAAAACGTAGGGAAACGTAGGGGAAAAAAAGCAGTTTTTAATTAATATCTCGGCTAATTAAAGTCGCACGAAGATGCCGATGGTCAATATGGCGAGCCACGGGAATTCTGAATCCAACGGTACCTTCCGCTAAGCTCTACACCCAGCCGTTCTTGAGAAGATGATGTTACAAACACACAAACAGACAGAGGCACACAGATTTTAATAGTATAGACTAGCGGGCAAGCCCGCCAGCTGAGCGGGCTGAAGCCCATTACTTCAGGGGATGGATGCCTTCGTGGTATTCGAAAGTTGGACCTAACTACCAGTGTACAGCGATTTTACATTTGCTGCGCCCGCTTTGTTAACGTATGCATGCAGAAGATACTGCATGCGGAAAACCACGAAAACACACATGCAGCCAGCCCGCTCGCCGGGATTAGAAAGTTGGACCGAACTACCAGTGTTCAGCGATTTTACCGCTCAGCTGCTTGTACGAAGTGTAATCGCGAAAATTTTCGGGGGGTGTGATATTCCAACAGTATACTCGTTGTTAAAATTCCTTTATTTAAATTCTTTTTGGTAAACTCCAACTGCTGTCTATATATTTTATACTTAACATCTCTTTTGTAATTATGTTTCATAACAGTAAATATATACTGGCATTTAAATGCCTTTAAAATAGTAGTAGAAAACATTTAAAAGCATTATGTTACAATTTTTTCATGCTCGGAAGTAATACTTTTAACTGCGAGCAAACCTTTGATCTTAGTCGTAACTGTAACTGCTTTCGGCGGCGTTTGTTTACATTTTTCAAGCGTGGGTTTTCGAGCTGATCAGTTTTCGTCAGTTATCTTTGTTTACCTTCTAAAAATGTTCTTCGAAGGGTCTTCTAAGACTCTTGATAATATTTTAGTCGTGAATTTGTTCTATTTTGATTATACTGGTAAATTTTTTTTTTTTACTTATGCTATCATAATGCATACTATTAGCAAGTAGTATCATAAACCCAAAGCATCAGCGGTTCTAAAATAAAACTCGTGCATGTGTGAAGAATATTCATGGCAGATGGTCATTTGTAGATGCTGTTACCGCAGAAAAAATTGCTGACACTTAAAAATAAATCTCCTTTAGCGGATATGATATGACAAATGATAAAAGTCCAGCGTGAAAATCAATTGTGAATACAACTGCGAGTGTAAAGGCAGCTGAGTTGAAAAACAACTTTTCAATCTACATCAAATTCTAATCAAAATTTGATTGAAAAGTGTTCCTATATTTTAATGAACAGCGAAATGTTTGTTGCATAATGCTACAACAGTTCTTCAGATGTAATATGAAAGGGAATGTTTGGCTATTGAACTCGTTTGCAAATTGTGTAAGAAGGTGTTAATTTTAAAAAATCAAAAATTGTAAAACCAAAACTTGCAGATTATAAAATTGCTGGTAAATAACAGAATGTTAAATAATAATATGTGCAATGCTATGGAAATTCTAAGAACAGATAACAATTATCAAAATATTTTGAATAATTAGGCAACGACCACAGGAAGTGTCATTTTTACTTCCGTGTGTAATGTAGTGGTGTGTAGCGTATTCAGCTACGGCAAAGCACTCGAGTGCAATCTGCCTAAGGGGAGGGATGCCTTCTTGTCGGCTTTTTAAAGGAAAGTGGCTGTATGCATGGGGAAAATAACAAAAACACCCATGCAGCCACCCCATTCACTGGGATTCGAATGTTGGGTGTTTGTAAAAGACGCAACTTTGTGGAACAAACTCATTTGCTCATTACAGTCCTATCCCTCGAGTATATCAAATATCATGTGAATCATGCCCATGTCTTGCATCTGCTGCACACCTTGTTCCATCATTGTGTGGATATAGCTCATATTGTGTCAATAGTGTTGTATGTGTCCAATATCCCCTGTATATACATTTGAAAATATATATGTACATACATATAAACCAAATTAGTTAGTCGCCTGTTTTTATCGCATTCAAAATAAATAAATAACAGAAAATAATTTTTAAAATCTACCGAGTAAGTATTGCAGATGGGTGGGCTGCACCCACTCAATTCTTTGCTGGTGTCTAAAATAGTTTCTGTGTGAAATTTGTGGAAATATTTTGTATATTTAAATCAAAAACAGAAAAATAATTTTAAATCTATGATTAAAATTGTTTTTCTCACTTTCATTATTATTAACACGAAACCGAAGGGACTGAAGAATTTTTTCGTGTTAAAGGATATTGAAAAAAAAAAAAAACATATTTTCAACAAAATTAAGTTTATTAGAGTACATTTTATTTGCACAGATATGCATATAGGCATGTATTTAATAAAAAATCAATGAAACAAAATCATCCACAAGAACTGCATTATTCATTTCGTTTTCTTTGTCGGAATCTGCATCAATGATATTTTTTTTAGCTTTGAACAAACTCCAAAATATCCTTGTCTCCAATTATTTGGGGCTGTACACACATTATCATCAACTACTGCAACTGTTGTTCTTTGGATAACACAGTAGGGCAGCACACAGAAACTTTTCCAAACGTTTCATAAAATGTCAGTCGTGTGAACCCGTAAAATATTTTACTGTACCTATGTCTATAAAAGACACAACTTTGGGAAAGACATTACAGGCCTATCCCTTGAGTATATTAAATATCATGCAAAACAAAATATTTTATATGAATGAAATCAGTTATTGCGTCAATAGTTCAAAGAAAAACAGAAAATAATTTTTAAAATCTACCGAGTAAGTACGCCAGATGGGCGAGCTACAATCCGTATTTATCTGAAAAGAAATAATAATAATAATAATAATAATTTCTTAGTTATAAGTTTATATTAAACTCAAAAACTTGCACAGAAAAAAAAAATTAAACAGAAAAAAATTGGTGGGCTTTTGACGGCATAAACTGCCTGACACCTGGGGTCTCCTCTGCAACCTCATCGACCAGGGGGTTATTTTTTCTCCCAGGTATCAGCCCCTTCCCTGGTCTGCTGTTACAGAATCATAGACAAAATTGCATCACTATATATAAATATGTATATATATATATATATATATATATTGATGCAATTGTATATATATATATACACACACGCACAATTAAGATATATATATATTTGTGCGTGTTTACAAAAATGCATGCAATGAATAAGAAAAATTATTTACATTGAAAAAAAAATTTACATGTTCTATGTACACCTGAAAGAAAAAACATTTTAATTTGAATGAAATCATTTCTATATACACCTGAAAAAAAGTATTTACAAGTTCTATGTACATCTGAAAAGAAATGTATAAAAACATTTTAATTTGAATCAAATCATTTCTATATACACCTGAAAAAGAAATATTTTTATGTGATTGAAATCAGTTCCATAAATACCTAAAAAAGAAAAATACATAAAATGTTTTAAAATTAATGAACGCAATTGTATGTAGACCTGAAAAGGAAAATTTATAAAAAATATTTACAACATTGAAAAAATAATACAGCTTCCGATTGCCTAACTACTACAAATTCCACTTTGTAACAACAGACATAAAAGCCGACTAATGCATAATTCTCAAACTGTTTCAGCTTCATCTTGACTTGCTTCAATTTATCCCAGTCATCCAAAAACCTCAAATCTTTTTCATTTTTGCTTTGGCTTGATTAACTTCATTTTGTGTTGCAAAAATCTCACTGTTTCAATGTCTCGAGTAACTTTTTTACTGCAGAACCTCCCTGTAAACAATATTTCTTGTGAATACTTTAGAACATGCGGGCATCAAACGGCCTTGCTTCTTGGTGTCTTTCACTAAAACACGAACATTCCTCATAGACGAACATCTTGAAAAAGCTACGTAAAGCATTCCATGACTGAAAACTGGTTGCGGTAAATAAATCCCAACTTTCTTAAGTGTCTGTCCCTGTGACTTATTAATAGTCATACAAAATGCAAGCCTGATGGGAAACTGTCTTCGCTTGAGCTGAAAGGGGAGGTTTGAATCTGATGGTGAAAGTTCAACACGTGGAATGAAAACTCTCGATCCAGCATTCTGTCCAGAGATGACTTCACAATCTAAAACGTTTGGCATAATTCTCTTCACAATGAGCCTTGTTCCGTTGCAGAGTCCAACCGATGGATGTAGATTTCGTAGAAGCATAACTATAACTCCAACTTTCAAATTCAGACGATGAGGTGGCATTCCAGAAGGCGTCAGGCTGTGGATGAAATCCAGCTGATACGTTTCTTGTTCTTCTTCGTCATCGCAAATAACCGAGTCTGCACTGTAGTGCGTGAAAACTTGACCTGGAAACGTGGAAAGAATTTCTTCATTAAGCTTCAGAGCTTCCTCGTTCTTTGGACATAAAATCGCTTTACTGGCCAAGTCTTGTAAGTCGAATTCATTACCGCAGCCAAACATTTCTTCTACTATCGATCTGTTGACCACACACAAAGATGGAATTTCGATAATGTCTTCGTCCAAGCCACTGTCATTTTTAAGACGACCGTCTCCCAACTGCAGAAGCCATTCTGAAAATTCTTGTTCTTCCGGATTCAATCGCATATTGGTGGAAAGCGTGCATTGTTTGAAATGTGGCCACAAAAAGGAGTTCCTGAGGCAGCTCTCGATCGCAGAAGTTCGGTTTCCATGTGCGACAACAGGTAATGTTTGTCTCCAGTCACCTCCTAAAACTAAGGTTTTACCGCCAAAAGGAACATCCAGTCCGGTCAAGTCTCTCAGCAATCTGTCGACAGCTTCCAAAGCGTAATGAGGCGTCATGGTGCATTCATCCCATATGAAAAGTTTCGCAGTCTTCAAGTACCTTCCTTCAGCGCTATCTTGTCTCACACGGCACGAAGAATTTTCCAGAAGTGGAACGGGCAACTTGAAAGTAGAGTGTACAGTTCTTCCACCGGTCAACAGCACAGCAGCAATGCCTGTCCACGCAACGGGAATGGCAACGTGGCCCATTCCTCGAACAGCATGAAGGATCGTCCTAAAAAGGAAAGTTTTTCCAGCTCCGGCAAACGCATTAACACAAAATGTCTTCGGTGTGTTAGGATTCTCATCTCGTACAGCTTCCAAAACCAAGTCGTAAACTAATTTCTGTTCAGGATTCAACATCCCGTTCAACACTTCGGCTTGTTCGTTTTCATACTGGACATCGAACTGCGGGACTTCGAGAGAGAGAAACAGCATCAGTCAATGTTGGTTGCGGGAGACCAAGAGAACATAGCGAAACATTGTGCACTTCTAACTGGTCTTCTATACTTCTCAGTGCAAGGCTGAAACTGTCTTCTAAGGAGTAAGATCTCGCAAAATCTTCAGAAAGGGACTCTTTGAATTCATTCCACAAAGCGACGGGTTCCGCAGGGTTGCAGAAAACACAGATGAAGCAAAAAAGCTGTCTTAGCTGCGGTGGCATTTGAAAAGCTGATGCTTCTGCCAGAGTATTTTTCCATTCTTCGTCGTCTTGCAGCAGATGCCTTGCACGGCAGGCTTCCTTGAACGTTGAATACTCCACACCTTCGTAAGTTCTTAAGTCGGCAAAACTCTTCGCTCCTTTAACGTGACACAGCAGCAACCTCAGATGGAAACGCTCAACATCTTTCGGGCTAACAGAATACATTCTTGAAATGATGTAATCTCCAAGTCTAACTCGTGTCTGCCAGGCATGATTCCTCCAGGTGAAATGTTTAGGAATTTCGGCATACAGGTAACCATTCGCTTCGGGAACTGTCCTGTTCAGTTCAAACCATCCGGTGAGCATGGTATTTTTCTCGGCAGCTCTCTGGAAAGCATTCCTTTCTTCGGATTCGGCAAAATAGACGGGCTGCAGGTTTTCCAAATGAACCGGTAGTCGTATGATGGAGTGCGACTTAGAATGCATTCTTTTTTCAAACAGCCTCCACGCTGCTTCAGGGGCAGACACGTATCTTGCATTTAAGAAGCATTTGATCTCGTCCCACATTAAAGTTCTATCTCCAGATTCTTCCAGAACAACTTTAGCTGCATCATGACCCTTGTACACGTATTTGAACAAATACTTCACCGATTTTATGGAGCTGCATACTTCAACGTTTATGTGGGCGTTGTACTTTTTCGATAAATACGGATTGTAAGGAACGACCCATCTGTTATCGATGGCATGACCCTTGATCACGATAAAGTTTCCATCGTCCCTTCTTCTGTAGAGTGGGTAGCCATTCACGTTCTCTTTAGTTTCTCTGCCTGAAACGGTTTCGGAAATCCTTTCGAACATACACCATCACTCATGCAGGGAGAGTTTCTATTCAGTTCACCGCAGGGTCCGTGAATCATCGATGACTTCACAATGTTGTGTAGCTCCGGATGTCGAGTAGCATCTGGGAGTTCAGTTCAGCACACACCAGCGAGTCGATGCACTCTGCATCTCTTATTTTGTCTTCTTCCGCTAAAAACAACAAAAGGTGCATATGAGGCAATCCTCTCTTCTGAAATTCGATGACGTGTATATCTGCAATGGTCGCACCTAAGATGTGATTCTTTGTCAAATCTTGCATCAAAGCCGTTTTCTTCAGGTCAAATACCCTCGAAACGATGTCCGGGCGATCGTGAGCCTTCTGTCCTGGGAATAAGTTTTCTGTTATTTCCGGCCATTTAGGGTTGCACGTGAAAGTCAAAAACAGATCCGGTTTACCAAAGTCGCGCACAATGGCCATCGAGTCCTGATAGTTTTGCTGCATGCAGCGAGGGCTTCCTATAAACGTTGACGGAAGTATAACCGGTATTCCAGGGCGGACGCCCGTCTCTTGACCAACTCTGTAAATGTGATCGGCAAGACCCATGTAAGTTTCCACTCTCAGATTCGTCTGATGGCTCCGGAGGTACGCAATCCTGTTGCCTTCAACTTTTACGTATGCATCCACGAGATACTGCTGAAACAATTTCCGGCCATACAAAATCGGGTTGTAGCAATCTCGTCGTACGGACACCCTGTGACTGTAAAACTGTAACTCTGTGTATTGCTGTCCGACTCTGAATCCTTGCTCGCCGTGAGGAAAGAAAAGTACGTACGTCATGGGTTCCAAGTTGGGATTTAAGGTACTGATGTTGATGAGACCGCCACCTCTCGGATGGATCACGATGTCTCGGTTCGATGGAGGAGCGCCGTCCGTACTCTTGAAGACGACTGCAACTTCATTTTCTTTCGGAGCATTGTAACGTCCCCTGTGCTCGCCTGCAGCAACACTTTCACCCTTGATGTACATGCGGATATCCGCAGCAGTTTCGGCACCTTGCTCTCGTACAGTTTCTTCTTCGAATTCCTTCAGCATCTTGTAGGCTTCCGCATATGGATTAACGTTCCTTAAAACTGTGTCCAACTGTCTCAGGAGTTCGGCGTTCAGGGCAACATTTCCAAATATGTTCATTCTCTGCCTGAGGGCTTGATCCGAATCTAAAATGTACAGCTGAGCTGAGCATACTGTTCTTGACCGGGATGAGGCGGATGAAGGTGGCTCGTTCGATGATATATGGCACCGTGAATCCTGAAGCAGTAGGGACCCGAACCCGAAGGCATTTCTATATTGGCACCCAATGAAGCAAAACTGAGCAGGCAGTTGTAAGTACGTATGTTGGCAAAAAACTCTTCAGAAAACGGGTGGTTCCCATTCATTAAATTGTGCCATTCTTCTGGATATCTTCTTTCAGCTTCGACAATTTTCCCATTGTTACAGCAGTGCATGTATCTTCCTCTTGCATTCCTTTCTCCCGTAAAGAACAATCCGTTGCAGAGATCGCAGGAAGCTTCCATTGAACCGGCGCTGTGTTGCTCAACATAAACTTCGAGTCCACATCTTCCTGCATTGTGAAGAGTGCTGCGTGAACGTTGTGCTGCATTCATGCGTAGCCTGTCTTCTCGTACGGACATTGTTTCTTCGGATAGGACTTGTCTGTGGCGTGCAGCGTCTCGCGTTCTTCGTGTAGCAGCGTCCTCTTCCGACTCTTCCGCTCGAACTTGACTTGACGATGAGAGTCCAGTCTGTGCCTCCTACTGGTTTCTTCTTCACTTTCTTGAGCACGTCTTGCCGATTGGATTGCCTGCTGAGTCTCTAATGGTTTCTTCTTCCGTTTCTTGAGCGCGTAATTTTCTTGATGTTGAGCTTCCTGCCGAGTCTCATAGCGGTTTCTTCTTCCGTTTCTTGACCACGTAGGTTTGCTTGACGATCTGCTTGCGTACTCAGTCTGCTAACGGTTTCTTCTTCCGTTTCTTGACCACGTAGGTTTGCTTGGCGCTCTGCTTGTGCACTCAGTCTGCTAGCGGTTTCTTCTTCTGTTTCTTGACCACGTAGATTTGCTTGGCGCTCTGCTTGCGCACTCAGTCTGCTAGCGGTTTCTTCTTCCATTTCTTGACCACGTAGGTTTGCTTGGCGCTCTGCTTGCGCACTCAGTCTGCTAGCGGTTTCTTCTTCTGTTTCTTGACCACGTAGGTTTGCTTGGCGCTCTGCCTGCGCACTCAGTCTGCTAGCGGTTTCTTCTTCCGTTTCTTGAACACGTAGGTTTGCTTGGCGCTCTGCTTGCGCACTCAGTCTGCTAGCGGTTTCTTCTTCATTTTCTGTAGCTCGCCGTAACCTTTGTGCTTCAGCTCTTCGTCTTCTCGATGCATCTCCCGTAATGCTTCTTTTCCGTTTCGGCATTTCAGTGTGTTAAAAAAAATACTACTCTACTAAAACAATAACTGAACTAAAAAAGTAATAATCGAACGTAAAAGATGAAAGAAAAAAACTTGTTCGTTAAAACAGTACTCCTGAAAATTAGTTAATGCATTCTAAATGTAAATAATTCCAGACTAAATGAAAACTTATCCGCTCAAGAGCTACTTAATTTAAAAAAGTCAAAAATTCTGAAACCAAAACTTGCCGATTACAAAATTGCTGGTAAATACCAAATAATATGGGTAATACTATGAAAATTCTAAGCACACATAACAATCATGAAAATATTTCTAATAATTCAGCTAATCTGAAAACAATGCGCATAAAAATAAAATGAAAATTACAAACACAAAATAAATAAAAGTATAAATGCAAAGATAAATTAAAAAGTTATGAAATCAATTCTGAAATTTAAAAGCAAAAATGAACTAATACATCTAAAAAAAGAACATTCGATCACCTTAAAACGATAGTTATTATCGTACAACAACTCACGTATAAAGAAAATGAAAATTATAAACACAAAATAAATAAAAGTATAAATGCAAAGATAAATTAAAAAGCTATGAAATCAATTCTGAAATTTAAAAGCAAAAATGAACTAATACATGTAAAAAAAGAACATTCGATCGCCTTATAACGATAGTTATTATCGTACAACAACTCACGTAAAAACAAAATGAAAATTATAAACACAAAATAAATAAAAGTATAAATGCAAAGATAAATTAAAAAGCTATGAAATCAATTCTGAAATTTAAAAGCAAAAATGAACTACTACATCTAATAAAAGAACATTCGATCGCCTTAAAACGATAGTTGTTACCGCACACAGTAAAATGTTAAAAATATAAAACGTAAATGAAATTTTTTAAGCAACAAAAACACAAATATATAATACGAATGAATATATCTTTAAAAAAATACGAAGAAAATATTAAATATATCACAAAAATTGATGTTCCTAAGAATTCTCAAGTTCTAACCTAACAGAAGCATATAAAAGTCTAGAATACTACTTTAAAGTACTAAAACTACAAATATAAATGCAAAAAACAATCAAATGTCCTGTAAAAAGAAATAAAGATTAGGTGCAATATGTAATAATATGAATATTTACGATATTTGGTATCAGAGAAAATTTTCGTACGCTATCCTTCCGAAACACAAATTCGTAAATAAATTTTTTTGTTGCCATACCAGGAAACAAAACTTTTGATTCTATTTGATCTGTTGCCAAACCAGAAAGCAAAACTTTTATTTTATGTTTGACGTCGATTAAACCAATCTGCAATCAATTCAATTAACGACAACTAAATGAAGAGAATGTTTCTATTTTTAGTTTTATTTTATTTTTCAGTTTATTCCTTTAAGTTATTTTCATTTTTTTATTCTTCAGTTTTTTAGTGGCGAAGGGCCTTGGCGATTAGAAGCATTTTTATCTGAAGCGACTGCCGAGACTGTTGCCACTCGGAAGAATTAGTGCGCTGAAATAAATGTTTTCGCAGTTTTTAAATTAATAACTCCGCCAATTATTGTCGTACGAAGATGGGACCGGTATCGATGGATTCGTTGATTTTTTTGGAATCCGGGGATATGCGTTTCGAATTCCAACTCGGCGCCGTTCCGTAGTTATTCGAGAAAAACGAATTTGGCGTGCAGCCAAATCCCTAAAACAGGGAAAACCCGACAAAGAAAGTGCAAAACGTAGGGAAAGTAGGGAAAAAATTAGTTTTTAATTAATATCTCGGCTAATTAAAGTCGCACGAAGATGCCGATGGTCAAAATGGCTTCCCACGGGACACGACGAATCCAACGGTACCTTCCGCTAAGCTCTACACCCAGCCGTTCTTGAGAAGATGATGTTACAAACAAACAAACAAACAAACAAACAAACAGACGCGCACAGATTTTAATAGTATAGATTATTTGAGCATAAAACAAGACGATATAAATAAAGAGCAGTTTATGGCAGAAACATCCGGAAAATTAATATGATTATTATGGGGAATTAATCCCCGCTTGAAGTGATACAATACGTTCTGCAGAAGCTATTAGAGTTCCAATGAAAAGTTCTTTTGTTTATTTCACGTGAAGCGGATTTTATGTATTTTCAGACACACTTAACCCCGTTTTACTAAATTAGAGTTAATAAAGTTTTACTCTTGACTGTGAGGAATAGTGATTAGCTAAATGCTTAAGTATTAAAGTTTTTTAGATGGTTTTGTTTTCTCTTACAGCCTGCTCCAGCACCATACGATCATTCCGTTGATGAAAGAGAGCATACCGTGCAACAATGGAAAGGTAAAAAGATGTATAAATATATAGATTTTAGTTGTAAAATTCTAATATAATCATTTTAACTTATTAAATGTGGAGTTATTACGTTAAGCACTATACGTTAATAACCTGTTGTTGTGGTGACTTATCTAACTTGTCTAACAGTAACATCAGAATAAGCCCAAGAAATTCATCCTCGCAAGAAGTGCAAGATTGCTCCTGTCATTGGTAAGAGCCTTGAGCACCATACAGGTGATTACGACTTTGCACAGTTCCGCCCTCAAGTTTGACGGATAGTACCTCCCCCCGGGGGGACGGCTGGCTTTAGGGAAAAAGGGTCTTCCATCCCTCTTTCCCTAACGCCAACTTCTGGACAGCACTTTGGGCTCGCCGTATATTTAGAGTGCCCGCATGCCGCGCAGACATTATACATTTACAAACATCCATATCATCTCCAGGATTCGAATCCAAACCCTTCGGTACGGCAGTCAGCATTGCTAATTACTATCCCGTTTGGGTGGCTTGTTTAGCCTACTTGTCTTGAGAGTTTCAAATACGTTATTGTTATGCTTGCTACATATCAAATGTCACTACTTTTCTTAACTGCTTTTATTTGAGTGTATTTAGTAAAATGCATTTTTGAAAAGGAAGCTTGCGCTGTACAGAAATAAATAATTTACAGAATTTTTGGGGGCACAGCATGAGCATTAGGGGCAATGTTCATGCCTCTTGTTTTGTTGTTAGGTCTATTAGCAGAATAAACACGGATTAAAACTAATTACAGAAACTGATTAATTTCCTTTGCATATCGATAATTTTTCTATTTTTCAAATTTGTGATCCTTTTTTCCCCCAATTTTTTATTTCATACATACATAATATTTATTATTACTATTACTACTATTGTTATTATTATTTGTGTTTAAAATAGAAAGCATGTTTCGAACTGAAGAGCTCACCAACTGAATAGCTCATCAGCCCAGTTGAATCATTGTAAGACAATTTAATAATTTGAAAGGAGGAATGTAATGAGTGACAATTTACTACTGAAATAATACGTAAAGAAAAGCTCTAAAGTTTGTGTATAGAAACGTATTAACTCTTCACTTAGCGTAACATAATATTTGAGAAAAGAAATTTGGTATTTAACGAAATAACCGTAAAATAAAAAATAAAAATTCTTTTATCTACCAAATATTTTAATAAGAAACTATACATATTTGCAAGATTATTTTATAACTTAAAACCGTACCTGAAACCAATAAACTAGTCAATTTGTTCAAAATACTAGAATATATATTTCGCAATCCATTATTAAGGACTAAGCCCTTATCTTAATTTGTTTTGATACATTAGTTTTAGGTAATAACGTACTCAGTAATATTATAAGTGTATACTCAGTTTTAAATAATATTCACTTGAAACTATGTAGCGTTTCCAATTAAAAAAATCTTCTATACATTTAGAACTATCATTTTTATTTGATAAATTATTTATTAAAAATTTTCGTAATCTATACTAAATGTTGTACTCGCATGGACGTAAGTAAAGTTGCAACATTTATTCGAAGTGGGATTATGTTATGTTAGAAAATTATTAAAAATCTATAAAAAACTAATAATGTAATTTTCTTAATGGTTCGCTAAATATTTTTGAAGAACTGAAAATATTTGCATATTCATACGTAAATGGAAGTGAAGCACGTTAAATTTCTATTCAAAAGGTATAGCTTTATATGTGAAATAAATAATCTACGAAAATAAAATTTTGAAAGCTTATGAATAGTATAAGCCAGATTAGCAAACTTTTCGCTCTTCAGTGCAAACGAATAAGAACTTTTACAGTATTCTTCAAAACAACTTTAAGTTAAATCAAGTCCTTATCAAAGAAATGTTGGAAAATGAACTTTTTTTTTATATACTTTAAAAATTTAGTTTTTACAAAATGGTAACACTGAAAACAAAAGTTGAGTTATAATTCTTTGAACTCTATCACTAGTTTGCGTATCTACTTATTTTTTAATATTCTATGTTTCTATGAATGAGCCCCCACCATTGACGGAGTTAAGACCAATTAATGCAGGTAGTTCGACTCAGATTTGAATCCAGTCAAACAGGCTGGCTGTATGGTTGGTTTCTACAGCTTTCCACTATGCGTAACGTGAATATGAACCAGTTTCCCTTAGAAATTCCTCCATGAATGCTTTCCTTAGACAGACAGCCATCGTATGGTTTGCCATATTAATTTCATCGATTAATATACATTCCTATCATGGAAAAAGCAACAAAAATATTATTAAAATAGTCAATTTTACAGTCTACCATGTTCGATTTGTATACTCGATAAGCTGCAATATTTTATTGCTATTGCGTCACTGTTCAGATTTATTTGTCGGTTTTAATGTAATGAATTTTCTATATACATTATAAGGTATTTATCCCGCCTTCTTAGCATGCCTTCGTGGTGTAATGGTAGCATACTCGGCGCGTATTCGAGAGGTCCGTCTTTCGAGTTCCGGTGAGGGCATTGCTTATTTTTCACATTTCCTGCTTCGAAATAACCTGTCTCTACAGTGGCGCCCGAACTAAAAGGTGGTGAATGACGATTATTCACCACCAGGATTTGGTGAATGGGTCCCCTGAATCCCCCATCGCCCTTTAAAAGGGGGAGTATATAAGGTATTTCTCCCGCCTTCTTAGCGTGTCTTCGTGGTGTAGTGGTCTGCGCGCTGGGCGCGTATTCTAGAGGTCCGTGGTTCGATTCCCGGCGCAGGCGTTGCGTATTATTCACTTCTCCTGCTTCCAAAATACCTATTGTCTTTACAGTCCACTACACCACGAAGATACGCTAAGAAGGCAGGAGAAATACCTTATAACATTCAGAGATTTTTAACATTTTAATGTGGTAAATTATTTTCAATCTGAGATAGAGGGATGACTTTTATTCTCTTCGGTTCTTTTTTAACCCCTTTAAGCCTATTCATCGAGCATTACCACTCCAAAGCTTTCGTATTTATTCTTTCTTTTCAAACGCAATTGTGGCATCTGCCCTGCTTCGCTTGCAGCCTCACATTTATAACGTTAGGAGGAAACATTCCGTAATATTCCATGCGCATTTTTATAATTCAACAATGTATTTTCAGTTTACGACCCGATAACTCGTATTTGCTGGGTAAATACTCAGAGAATACATGTTTCCTTTCAATGGAATTCGGTGCTGGATTATTTTACTTATTTTTAACAGTGTTATTTTGCATTTTAAAGACATTAGAAGATCATGTATATATTTGCTTCACTCCTTAAAAGTCTTTTAATTTTTATCATTTCTTATTTAGAATTAATCTATCAAGAAGTTTTAGAATATGAACAAACTCACAATACGTTGGGTATCCGACCTATGGGTTCTCATCTAAATTCACAAGCAGGTAAGGTCTTTTAAATTAAATGCGTTATATTCATCTTTTAATTTTTGTATTTGAAAGTATTTTATTATTTTTAAAACTAGTTAAATCATTGGTTCATACCTTTTTACGTAAATCCTGAATAATAAATTTCATGATCCTCTTTTAATCTAAATGTGTTTAATTTGAAAATAAAATTTATCGTAGCACATGAATTCACACAGATATTTGTTAAACATAAAATAATCCACTTGTTAAGTCGAGTCTCAAACTTATTCTTGCATAGCTATGTTTCAGTTAAATTATCATTCTCTCTTATGACTTTTATTTCAACAGAAATTTAAATTTGATTTAAGGTTTACAATAAACAGACAGTAAAAGTGCAATGTATCTAAAGCATTCTTGGTTTGACGTATTAAGAAACAATCTTAAACTATCATAAGAAATAAAATCAAATGTGGAAGTTTTTAATGAAATTTGCCGAGAATATTTTACATTTTGAGCTTTCAGTTTGCAATAAAAATTCATGATATGAGAAACATTCTTCATCGAAGAGATTGTTAATTGGAGGAACTAAGAAATTAATGGAATTAGAAATTAATAAAATTCATAAGAAGGCCATATGCCAAGGTTAAATTCTTTTGAAGTTTTTTAAATAAAATATGTGAAGGCTTCTTTCACTTTGGACTGAGGACTGTGACCAAAAAAAACTCGCAAAAGTCAACTAGAAATTCAAGCAAAAACATTAAGTCTTGTTTCAACACTTAAAACTGATGAGAATTTTCAAGCAAGCCGTGGGTGGTTCTTCCTCTTTAAAAAAACGCTAATTGATTCATAATTTTCGCATTGTGGGTAAAGGCACAAGTGCAGATAAAGAAGCAGCACTAAACTTCCCCAGAAGAAATTAAACAAATTATTCAAAAGAGGACTATCTTAATGAACAAATTTTTAACCGTGGACGAAACTGGATTACACTGAAAGAAGCTGCCTTCTAGAACTCATTTCTCAGAAAAAGAGCTATCTCATCCGGGCCATGAAGCATCAAAGAATCGAATTATCTTATTATTAGGAAAATGCTTCTGATGATGTCAAATTCAAGCCCATGCTTGTGTATTACGCTGGAAACCACGCCTTCTAAAAGAAAGCGCTAAAAACTCCTTACATTTTTTTTGGGGGGGGGTCTTTTAATAACAAAGGTTTGGTTATTAAAGCAGTGTTTGAAAGTTGCTTTAAAGATTACTTCGGCTACTTAAAGATTATAAGGTATTTCTCCCGCCTTCGTAGTGTAGTGATCAGCACGCTCGGCGCGCAATTAGAGGTCCATGGTTCGAATCCCGGCGAGGTCATTGCTCATTTTTCATCTCTCCTGCTTTGAAATAACCTGATATCTCTTCAAGATTATTTTTTCCCCTTCGTTAAAAGTTATTGTGAAAAACAAAACATAGCTGCTTAAGTATTATTGTTTCTAGATAAAGTGTCAGGTCATTCTGCTGGACTAATCTTTGCAATAATTGTCAGAATCTATTTTCTTCCCTCTACCTTAGTGCCATAACCCATGGATCAAGGGGTTATGTCAACATTTTAAGACATTTTATTTATTTTTAATTTTATTCTATTTTTGAGAAGGACGCTTTCACAGGCAATCGAAGCAAACTTTGGTGAAAGTGCACCATCTTTGATCACATTTTGGAAAAAATACAATATCCAAAATGCTACTGAAAACATCGGACATGTATGAAATGAAGTGAGCAAAAATAATATGAGAAGCGTGTAAAAATATGTTTTGGCTTATTACGCTAATGATTTTTGGGGCTTTGATTTTCAAATGGATACAATCTCAGCAGAAGTCGTGAAACTTGAACATGATTTAGGCTTTAACTCACTGGATGCTGCCAATGTTATGGAATGTGTTCAAACGGAATTTCAGCCTCTTGATGACGAATCTCTCATCAACATATGAGGAGGAGAACAAGCTTATTAAGGAGAAAATGAAATTGACGAACATGTGCAAAGGGAAAAAATTTCACATTGAATAAATAATCACGAAGAATTACTTAATGCCGTTAGAAAAGGGTGTGAATTGATTGAAGAAAATGATTAGAATGAAAAACGAGCCTCAAAACAAAGCGAAAATTAGAAAATGCAGTTCTTTATTATCGTATGATAGGCGAAGAAAAAAATGGCGTAAACAAACTTTGGTTAAAAAATAATATTTTTCTTTTTGATTTTATAAACATGCAATAAAAGTCTTCTATTACGTAGCGTACCTTTTACCCTTTTATTAGTTTCCATTAATTTTTAAGTAAATTCGTAAATATTTTTGTTTTAGCAAACTATGTTAGGAACAAATTACTAATTTTCCTATAGAAATAATGTTTTACTCTATACGGTACTTTAGAATAACCAGTTAACAGTAATAGCGAGTTATTCTTGTATTACGATTTAATTTGTATACAGAGATAGCGTAAGAGGCCCAGCTGTAATGTCGCTGAATACTAGTAGTTCGACCTGGGTTCAAATCCTGGAGAACGACCTGACATGGTTTTCCCCATGTTTAACATGGATACAAGTTAGTTTCCCTTACAAAGTCCTGCATGGAGGCATCCCTTTCCCTAGATGTCCCCCGTGTGCTTTGCTATAATCAGATAAACCAAACCAATAAAAAGAACACCACTTGATGCCAAACATAAATGTTCGCTAAAAATCTAACTGGAGATAGAAATGGTAACCTTTAAAGTACATTCAACTAACGTGAAAAGAATGACTGTTTTATAACTGAATATAAAATAATAAAAAATACAGACATCTCATAAATAAGAACGCATACATTTATTCCAATCAGCAGTTGAATGAGTTTCACTTCTAGATGTAGATGACAGAATTGAGGTGAGTTCTTGACATCAGAAGCAAATGGACCGAATAATCGTCGAAAAAAGAATGCGCAAACCTTCGAATTAACTTCCACTCTGTTATATCTTTCTACTAGCGATCATGCTACAAGAAAAGATCATGATAATCTTTCATGATATTTTCTCGTAGCTCCATTTCCGTACTTCGGCAGCAATATAATATAATTTCATATAGCGGTTTTTCGAACGAAGCCTTTCAGTGCTTTGTCTTGGGTGAATTTAATATCGAGTGTTCATCATTCTGTAACTATCAAATCGTAGAATACATTTCCTTAAAAAAGAATGAAAACTTCCTTCACTCTCTAAAGAAACAGCTGTTGGTTTGGGTTTGGTTTGTTTAATTATGGCAAAGCACCCGAGGGCTATCTGCCTAAGGGAAGGGATGCCTCCTGAAGGACTTTCTAAGGGAAAATGGCTCGTATACACGTTAAATATGAAGAAAACCACGAAACCGCTCATGCAATCAGCTCATTCGCTGGGATTTAAACAGGATCGAACTACCAGTGTTCAGTGATTTTAGCGCTCGGCCGCTGGTGGGTGTAACTGCAACTGAAAATCTTGGAAGGCAAAATTATTGTATAGATGTTCATTCTTCTCGCTTATTCGCAGTGACGTCATTGCATAAGTATCAATAAAATAAAAAGTTGCCACATTTAAAATAAAATGAAATAAAATAAGAAGTTATTGCACAAAAGTTACTACACCAAGGTGAGGTAAAATAAAAAGGTACCACATTTGGCCTACAATTTTCGACTAATGGCCTGTTTATCGGAAAATACTAAAAATGTAACAAGAGATTATATTATTTGAAAAACGTATTTTCTAATTTTCACTATATATCTTCTTGGCAGATGGTGTGATCGAAATCGACAGCGAAGTAGATGGCTTAGTTGATCAGTCCACTAATGGTCCCAGCAACCCTTTTAACAGACGAAGATAAGTCCTGAATTTTCCACTCTTCCTCAGGTTCAAGCCGCAGAGAATAAAAAAAAGTATACCAGTACTGTTTTATAAGGGTAACCCACGTTTTGAACATTATTTTACACGGTTACAGTTGCAGAAACTGGAAAAAATCTTATGAAAAATTCAAGTATAGTGACGAAGAGGTTGGCTGGTAATCCTGGAAAAGCTCATCAGGTATCATTCACAAAATATAATCATTCCTTTCATCTACTTTAAGTGATTTAGACTTCGGAATTTTAAGTAAACCTTCCGACTTTATTAGGAATATTACTTAACTTTGTGCCAGAAAATGCAGTCTTCTTTTTAATAGTGTTATGAATCGTTACAAAAGTCTCTAAAATGATTTTACCAGTCTAGTGCTTATCGCGGTTGCACAATATTATATAGTCATGAAAATTCAGTTCTTACAATAGAGGTTTCGAACAAGCTTAGAATGATTATTTTACATGTAAATGAAAAACAGTTAGTTTTCAGAAAGAAAAAGTGCACCATTTATTATGGTTAAAATTACGATAAGCTGTAGTAATTTATATTTTAAATGATAAAAAGAATAAAGAAGCGATTTTTGTGTTCTAATTTTATGTGATATAAGAAAGATATTTTTGTGTTGTTCTATTTTTATCTAAGAAAAGAAACAAATTCTTATATCCAGAGACTGTCAAGATTTTTGTAAATTTTTCTATTTTTGTTTATACATCATCGATTTTGTGAATTATGACAACCACAAATAGTGATCGTTTACAGTTATATTTTCTTGTGACTGAAAATTTAAAAATTATTTGGTGCTGATTGTATAACTTTGATAATGGACATTCTAAGCGCTTCAGGAACATATTTGCAGTAATCGCCGAGTCCTGATAAATTGCGAAGTTACATGAATGTTTCAATGATAATGATTTGAATTAAGACGTGTGAAGTGTGTATATTTCTTTAGAATATTAGAAATATCTAATTTTATTTTCATTCTCTCTACTAGAATATAAAATATTGCATAAAAACATTTTAAAATATTTGCGAACATTATTTTACGAGTTTAATTGTAATTTTTTTCGCCGCAAACTTTACGAGTATAATTTTTGTTACTTTTAATGTCTGATGGAAATACGAGCAGATATTCATCATTTTCAACTAAGCTACAACTATCTGATAATGGTGGTTTTGGTAACAATTGATGGTAAAAATTCTGCTTAAAAAACTGAAGGCACTGTATATTAGATTACGGTGGCCGACACTGGAATGTAGAGGTTAAAAGCATTTACTGAAAATAAAAATTTTAAATTAACTAGATCTGCAGAAATTTATAAAAAAAGAAATCTTGAATCTTTAAAGAATATTTTTGGAATATAAACTAGCTCTTCTAAGTAAGTTTTTTTAAATGCATAAACATTTCCTAAGAAAGAAAAAAGTCAAAAGGAAAAAAATAATTTGATTAAGCAGTACGTTTCCTTTATCTGATAAATAAGGAATCAGACTTAATAATTATACAAATTCCGCTAATATTTCATAAGAAACAGATAATATTGTCAAACTCGGTTATATAAGATTACAAATGCTTTAAGCATTTTAAATTTTTTAACGAAATTTGGTTTTTAACGAAGATCTTTCAGCTGATTTTTCGATATGCCCCCAAAAGTCATTTAGAATCAGCAAAATTTTTATTGCTGTTCTTGTTCACACCTTAATCTGCAGTTCTTCAACATGTGAAAGAAAGCATGCAAATGAAATACATGAAGTACATTAAATAATCGAAAGTAATTGCATATAAGTACCCTTTTCGAGAATTAAAGTTGTAGCCCATACTCCCTTTTGGCCTGTTAATTTTTATATCATCAAGCTCAGTTTATTTATCCATTTAATAAATACTATTTTAATTATATCTGATAAGAAGCAACTATCAATTTGAGGGAGAGACTTTTTTTATGATTAATACCTTTTTACGAGAACGTGATCTCAAGTAATTAATGTTAATATTTCTCCTAAACATATGTATTTATACAGCTTTTTGAGTTAAATAACTGACCAATAAAAATTTTAGATAATTCTTGGAATGTAGGGTAGTTGTGCAATAAAACTAAACTAAATCGAAAATTTTTTCATCTTCTCGTGAACTTTTCGATTTATTTTAGTTTATATTTTTTTAAAGCCTAACTACATAAGGCTTTAAAGAAAAAGTGAAATAAAAGGCTGAAAATCGAGGTAGTTAAGTTCAGTCATAAATAATATTTTATATGGGAAGTTATGTATTTAATCAAGTAACAAAATTCTTTTTTGCTTAATCAAAATGGTTTATTCAGTCAGTTTAGAAGAATTCATTAAATAAATATAAAACAATGCCATAACTTTCGATTGAACTAAAACTTGATATTAAAATGGGAAACATGTAATTTAATAACTCCGCTCTTTAAAAACGCACATTCTGATGTATTTTATTTACTTAAATTGCTTTATTTTTTCTACTTTAAATTTCAGAATTTTTTATGTTTTAATTAGTATTTATCTCGAAAATGAATCAAACTTACAAGCGGGTTTCTGTTGTTCTGAAACAAATTCGTGGCGATCGATTTAGTATTCAAAGCAGAGCAATTTTGAGGGAAAATACTGTATTCCTGTAGATATTTTACCGCAATTTCTTTCGCTGTAGGGAAATTGATATGTCGAGCATTTAACACAGTTTAAGGCGTTTAAGTACACTGTCCCCTATTTAGCATAGTTTTCTAAAAGAATCATTAGTTAGAGTAATCTTTATTTAACAAGATGGAGAGTTTGCTTACTTCAAATAGAACACAAATCAAAATTAACAATCTTCGCAAGCATTTTAACTGAAGTGTTGAAATAACGAAATTACAACAGATTTATAAGTTTTAAATAGCTTCAAGCTTATCTATTAGGCAATATTACCAGGAGTATATTCTAAAAAGAATGAAGCTCAAGTACAAAAGCCTTTTAAGACTTCCGCATCGAAAAACATAGGTAGAATCCTCTCTCGCCAATATATCGTTTAGCGCTCGTTTGTTTTTGATGCTGCCGAGTTTCATTATGCAAAAGTGACACTAATTTATTCTAACAGGAATCCCATAGCCACATACTTTAAAATTAAGACAAAAAATACGCCTATTTGTCTATAAAAACAGTTGTATTGATTTGTCTATAAACGTTGGAACAACAAAAAGAAATTTAGTGAATTTTACTATGATTGCGTTAATGCGTATATACACAAATACTGTTCTCTCAGTACGTTTAAAATAACTCGTTATTAGAATTCATAGTTCAAAATAACCGAGTTTGACAAACGCTAAATGCTTTGTTCTCATATTCTGAATGTATTTTAATTTAAGAATTAAATACTATCATAACAATATATAATTTTCAAGTATTTAAATGCAGTCTAAGCAGAATAACTTTGCTCCTCTGAAACACAAAACATTGAAAAATTAACTGCTTATGAACAATCCTAAGATTTCCATATTTTTATACATCTGAAAGATGAAGTGTGAAAGATATTCCCTAGATTTGAAAATTAGTCATTAATAGTGCATGAAACGAAGTACTTCCGGAGCAATAAATTTCATTGAAATGATCCCCAAAATTTAATTATATCTTTTAATATTTTGCTCAAGATTCGTATATATATTATAGTAGAGGAGGTACGAATGATCTTTATGTGTAGTTTTAGATAACAATCATTTGATGTCTTTCAATATTTAAAAAGCAAAACACTGTGGTTTCTCGTGATTGTGTACAAAGCACTTCACAAGCTTCGTTGAAAACAAAGTTTTACTTTCATTTTTAGTTGCATCTTAAAGTAAAAGATTTGTTTGTGTTAATTAGGCATAATAATAGTTATAGATTATGCGTAATTCGTTAATTTAAAGAAATAAAAACGAAATCATTTGAATTTGCAGCAAATGCAGCAACTTCGGCGTGGTCACTTGAAGAATCGTTAGCAAGATGTGCATTACAATTAAGTTGTATCATATGCTCAATAGAATTAGAACTGAATGCAAACGCACATTAAGATTTATCTAGTTTATTTTGTTATATTAAATTTTTCGTGACATTGCACAGTAGCGTTTCACATTACATTTGTAATTTTAAATCTAAACAATTTTTAGTCAAATATTGGTTGTAAATAGAAATACCAAGAGATATAAATAAATATTAATTTTGTCAACCAGTGTTTCTCAAACATCATCTCCTTGAAGTCCCTAAAAAACAATTTTAAAAAGTTCTAGCTGACCTCTCAGTGCAAGGAAATATTTGATAACATCCCTTACCGGTACACTCATATCGCTAGCACTGCTTTCTTATCAATAATATGTATCATAATTACCCAGTTTGGGCACCAACTGCTACTACTGAGAGTTACGATCTAGAGGGACGTTATTGGTCCAAGGGACGCTAACGGAGGATTCAGGAGCGAAAGAGCAGTGACACACTTGAAACATCTGGCTACCTAAATATTTTTAAACACATTTAAACATTCACTTGATTATGCAAACGTTACACTATGCATCTTTATAAAAACTATATTAATCACATCAGTCTACGCTCCACATATGTTATTCCAATACTGTTTTTGCCTTTTTTTAATTCTAGACATACAAAATGTAAGTATAAGTAATGTTAGGTCTAAAATTCTAAAAATATCGCCACAAATGCGTACTTTCAGTGGTATCTAATATGTGTTTTAGTAGCAATATATGTTATGCTACAGCATGTGTTATTGGGAGGACTTAAAAGAATATTTTGTCAAAGTTCTTTACAATAAATGACAGAATGATAATAATCTTTCTCATTACAATTCTTTCAATATTGCGTGATGAGATTTAATTAATAACTCTATACAGTGCAAGTGCAATAAATACCCAAAACTTTCATTCAAACAACATCTAATATATAACTGTTGCAAACATGGGGGCTATAAGCAATTTTGAAAGGGATGAGCAAACTGTTGAGGCGACGGACCAAAAAACATTGGGAAATAAATAAAAATGTTTATGTGCTTGAATAAAAAAAGGAAGGAAACGCGAAAAATGCTGCATAAAATTTAGGCAAAGCTAAATTTAACGATATTAAAAATAATGTTTCTAACAAGATTAAAAAGAAATAAAGATGCTTAATTCTATGACAAGTGTTCTCAAAAAGGGGGATTTTGCCCCTTAGGACGAATCGGGAGGGGGAGCTTTCTAGGGGAAAGCAGTCTGCCTTTTATTCATTTGTTAAATATTTAGTTCTAGTTTACAAGGTAAAAAATTACTTTAATTGATGTTTTAATATTTTCTATATTTTCCTTGTTTAATTTATAAAGCACATTTAAATAAATGTACACCGTGCATAAAAAAGGGGGCAGACAGTTCTATATCTCCCGTTCTACTAGGCCGATTGACGAAATTTAACTTGCGTTTTTCATGTCTCGAAAATGTGACTTAGGATATGTAATAGATTTATATACAGCATAGTTTTAATATAGGTAGTTTGACACAAAATCTGACTTTTTCTAAAATGGCATGCCAGTTTTTCTCCATATTTCGATTCTACGACTCAAATTATGCCAAACTGCCAAATTTTGTAAAAATCGCACGAGTAGTTTTTTAACAATTAGCTCTCAAAATTTTAGCTCCTCAATGTTAATTGAATTTAATATATACTTATTAATCTCTCTTTGTTTTATTAAACTTACTTGATTCCTTCTTCCAGAATTCGAAATTTAAATTATTTTTTATAAATTTTTCGAATTTGTATTATAATTATAAAATTCGATAAAAATTTTTACATCACCTTAAAGTAGATGTATTTCTAAGCACGTCTGCAAAAAATTAGAGTTTTTTATTCAAAATTTCCTTAGAATTTACATTTTGACGCGTTTAAAATAAAAGCGTTAATAACGAAAATGTTGTTTACGTACTTTGTTAAAATTATTTGATAGCATGAACGATGGACTTTTTTTTCCCTCTATAAATTACGAATTCCGCCATGCGAATTATTCTTGGCGTAAACTGAAAAAAAATCTGCCAAGATCAATTTTTAAATTTCTTCAAATTTCTCAAGAAAAATTACAAAACTTAATATCTAGGCATAATTTAGGTTGCAAAATCGAAATATGGAAAAAATTGATATGTTATTTTAGAAAAAGTCCGATTTTGTGTCAAAATACCTATGTTAGAATAATGATCTATAAAAAAACTAATATATATCCTAAGTCGGGCTTTCGAGCCATGAAAAACGCAATTTGAATTTCGTCAATCGGCCTAGTAGAACGGGAGATACAGAACTGCACTTTTTTATTTTCTTGCAGTGTACATGTATACTTCGAGATTTGGAAAGAGCGAGGAATTAACCTTTAGGAATAGTAAAAAGAGTGCATGGGGCAGAAAAAAAGTTGAGCAGCACTGTTCCAGGAGCTAGTGGTCAGCTTCATACTTAATTTATGCAAGTATTGTCATATAATTATTATTATCTCCATAGCACCATTCATTGTTGTCATGACAAAATTTAAATAAGAATTCGCAACTTCCTGGCCTACTTGAATTTCAGTGTTTTTTACTGCTAATGAAAAGGGGAACTAAATCAAAAACTTAACAGACTGTTAATAGACTAATAATTAATTCAGTGAATTACATCATTTTTAAAATATCGCGATAATTTTATTTATTTATTTACTTATCTATTTGTTTTTTTATTTTTTTATTCGAAGATACAGCCTGTGGAGGACCGTTTGGACTACACATAAACTGATTCCAGCAATTTTGCGATTTCAAAACAATTTGGCTAGATAGTTTAAAGATATTTTCATAGCTATTTTCGCAAGTTCATAAAATATCAAAAGAAACACGTGAAAAATAGATGGGAAATACTGATATAAATCTCTGATAAAGCATAATAGTAGATATTCTTTTTTAATCCTTAAAAAAGGAACAAAATGAATTTTGATAATTACTCATACGATATTTTAAAGTGTAAAATTTATTTTTATGAGAATTTGTCACGAATTACTAACTTTTTTATACCAGTGTTCTGTATTTCACATTTCAAGTTTTTATGTTATTTTCAGAGATGCACAGTTATAATGCAACGAGAGATATGGAATATTTATTACATATCTCTAACATTTTATACAAACTTCAAGAATTTTATTTTGAAATATTTAAGTAAGTTTAAAATAATATTGTAATAAACACATTAACAACAACTTTCATATAAAATAGATAAGCACTTATATGCACAAAGGTATAACTTAAAAATCTCTCACTTCTTCCCATAATACCCATAATAGGCCACAATACTGTCTAAAAACGTGTATTCTATGAATTAACATACTGCCCCTTTTGAGCTGCTTTCATGCCCACTGCAATGATCGGGGAAAAAAAAAAAAAAAAAAAAAAACGTGATAATTATATCTGATTATAAAAAGGAATGAAATAAAATATGTCATTGGATGAAAATATTATAATCAGTAGAAGCAAATATTCTTATCACGTTATATATTAGCCTTTTCATCTTTTTCTTTTGTCAACATACTTTCTTTTCGTCATTTGTTTATGTTCTAACATAAAATAATCGTAACTGCTTACTACCAAGTTTCAAAGTTGAATACGTTTTCACAGCAGTAAATAAAATTCATTGTGTTTTCAAAAAAGATAAAAATCTCAGTTTTTTCAAAATTAAGCAAAGAAAGAAAATCATTAAAAATCGACAATCAAAGAGCTATATGAAATATTTTATACGCGACAGATCAACAATGAAATACAAAATAAAATCAGATAAATGTTATTAAAGAAGTAAAATATATTTGCTTTCATGATTGCTAAAATTAAAAGACACTGAAAATACACATTAAACACTTTTGCACACACACCGAAAAAAAGATAATAAAGTTATCCAAGTTTATTTTTCTCTACAATTGTTTTCAATACTTTTAATGTGAACATCATTAGCAGCACACAGAATGCCAACAAGCAGCTACTAATGGTATCCAAGACTATTAACTGGCAAGATGGTTAGCCATCATTTGTAGAACACTGAACTTGTCAATAAGCATCTAGCCAACTGTCTATCCCATTCCATGCTGCTTGATGTTTGTCAGGTATAACAACAGTAACATCTGTTTTGCAGGATTTTAGATGTTGGAAGTCTTTGATGTTAATCTAGTTAAACAGTAGACAGATATAAAGCCAGTGTACATCCAAGTAGGCAAATTACCGTATTTGACGGCATATAAGACGCACTTTTTTCCTAAATTTGGTCTTGAAAAAAGTTACCTGTGTCTCATACGTGAAGGACACAGTCTTATACGTGAAGGAAATTGCATTCAATAATTGTTTATTTGGCTTTTACGAAACGTGCGAACTAAAAGAAACCACGCTATTGAAACTTTTTTTCCTTGTGTGTGGCCATCTAAATAAGGGTGCGTCTTATATGCCGTCAAATACGGTAGGTGTCACTCGACCTCGCCAACTGCTAAGCTTCTGCCACAGATAAAATTCTGAGGGAGGACACCCTGGGACGCAGTCAAAGAGTCTCCCATGCATCTTCTCTCAAGAGGATTTTGGCATACTATGTATTTTGAGTGTCCTCTTGCCCAAAAAACTATACGCTTACAAACATCCATATCTTCTCCGGATTCGAACTTCGGCCCTTCATTACAGCAGTCAGCGTTACCAACCAATATCCTTTCTGGGCAGCATTAAACAGTAAACAATGTTCTGACATAACTTTAGAAAGATCTAGCTAGATTTCAGTCTAAATTCAAAGCAGTAAACAATGTTCTGACATAACTTTCAAAAGATCTAGCCAGATTTCAATCTAAGTTCAAGCTTAAAACTTTCTAAAAAGGTTAGAATTGTAGGCTACTGAAGAATTTCGCTCATAACAAAAGTGTTATTCCCTGTGAAATGGAAATTCAGTTTTTAAAATGATCCAACTGAATGCAGGATAAAATTAAAACCAGTTTAAACTTTAACACTAATATCTGAAGTATAAGCTATAGAAAGAGAGACATATTACTTTCACCAGTGGAGATTATCTTCTCACAAGCGAAATTTAAATTTAATTTAGTGCTGAACAAACTCAGTCACTTCTTCAGTGAACTAGCATATAATCTTGAAATAACTGTTGCTAACTACAGGTGGGGTAACTTCTTATATATCCCCTTTGTCTTCTACTTCATTATGTTAACTACCTCTTCAGGAGGAATTGCGATAAAATAAGAGTCATAAAAGTAATCTTAATCAAATGTAATTAACAAATCTTACACAAACTAGTAAGTTAAAACTTACAAGGAAAAAAATAAATAAAATGCATTTAACATGATAAGTGTGGAGACCAAAAAGTAAATTTGCCATGACTAATGCATGGCATTCCATGATACAAGTAATCTCTAATAATAAAGAGTTCCAGTGTCACATCTTATTGACACAGGTTTTAAGAAGGTTGTTAACAAGAAAGTGACAGAAAGAAGAGTAGTTCTATGCAGTTTCATCTGTGCACTAAGATGATGCTGACCATACTCCCTCAGAATTTCAAAATGCTAGTTTGCTTATTATTTATTATACACAGGAAGTTCAATATTCTCTGGAGCAAAATTTGCTTACTTTTCATGATGAATAGGTATATTCATTTTCATTTCTTCTTCTATGTCTTCATCTCACAGCATTTATAATATACACAATTATTTTCAATATTTTCAAATACATACCAATATTTTCAATACATTATACATGAGCCTTGTTTATGATCATAAGTGTAGATAAGGACAGTGCTTGGAAAGAACTTTTAAAGATTCTTTTTGCCTTATCACAAACAAAATTCTTTCACGGTGACTTTCCTGAAATCAACCACTTTTCCGAGACTTCATCTCTCAAAGTGAAAAATCTATTATACATTCCTGACAGTCATTTTCTCTAATGTAACCGACCTAATAGACCAAAATCACTTGAAACCATGGATGGCCACCTTCACTGCATTATAATTGACACATAATTTCTGGATACTTTCATCAGGACATCCTGTATATTACGGAGAAGTATAGAAAACTGCTAATTTATTTCACTACAAATATATATAATTAACTCTGCAGTGCAGTTTATTAAAAATATCAATCTGAAATTCATAAATTACACTAAATTTCCCTTTCTTAAACTATTGCTCAGACCACATGGATCATAAAAGTACAAGATTTAGTACAATGACTGTATGTTTTATAATCACATTTCTTATAAGTTGCTACAATAATGTTCAATAATGTAATTTCCAATAAATGTTCTCCACTAAAAATTGCCATTGGGCTGTTTGTGAACTGTGAGCTTTTTAGTAATGCAAATAAAATTGTTTTCTAGTTATTGTAATTGCCAAATGCTACATTGCTGTATTTTATAGTGCTTATTTGAGAATAATTTTAGGCGAAACATTACAGCAAATTTTTAATGTTAGGAAACAAATAATGTTTGAAGTTGCCAGTTTGCATGTAG